GTGGTAGAAATGAAATCGGTATGCTGAGAAATTTCAAATCAGTCGATCTATCGATATATTTATATTTCTTTTCCTACTTCTATTAGATATTCTTGTCGAACTTAAACTCATTAAAAGTTGTATGAAAATGATCATCATCTTTCACCTATTAGAGAAAGAAATATCAATCCCTAATGAGCATCAAACTTTCTCTTTACACTTAAACACTTATTTTCATATGTATATAATGAACTTAAAAAAGATACGAACCAAGCATTGACCAAATTTCTTTAACAGATCGATCAAATCGCACACCTTGCAAAATAATAACTTTAGCATCAGGATATTTTTGTAAGTAAGATCTTGAATGAGATAATTTCGGTCCAATACCATCAAGAAAATGTTGAAAACTCCAACCATCTGGAACAGTATAAAGAATAGCTTTATCATAAATAACGGTAACTTCATCAGAATTTTTAAATGTACGTTGAATAGCATCATCTTTATAATTATAACCACATTCATCATTTAAATAAAGTCCATTTTTAACAAGAAAAATATTAACTGAAAGATGCTCTTTTGTATCATTAAAAAAAAACCCTTTTTCTTCACATGAACCAAGTGGACATTTTTTTGAATAAGCTTTATAATATGACGAACTATAAAACCAATTTCTTGCTTCATCATCAGAAAAATTTGGTAAAGAAATATAAAATGGTTCAAGAGTATAAGAATTTTGTTCAAAATCTTGTTTGGAAAATAATATCGATGGAACATCATAATTTTTTATTATTGATAATTTGTTTCTTGGACGTAATAATAAACGATAGATTTCATAGGTAATTATAATCACACAAGTAACTATAATAAACAGTTTAAATAATCGAATTGGACGAAAATACATTCTTCTTCACGTTTCACAATCAAACCATTAAAGCATAACTAAAAAAGAAATATTAAATCATTGTATCAATTAATTGTTGTTATTAGAATTTGCATGGATTTATCACTAGTAAAATTATGGATTTCTAAACTTTATTTTTTATCATTTTCTACAAATTGTGCCTTTAAAGGAAAGTTCACATTAAAATGGTTAAAATAATATACTTTTATACTCAAGTTTTAAGAATAATCTAGCTAGATAATCTATTTTCATTATGGTCAATGAGGAAAAACTAGATGATTCATTTAGTTTTTTACAAGTGTGGTTCAATGACAATGTTGAATTGACTAATGAGGAAATATCTTCATCTTCTAGATGCTCTTTTATTTCATGTTTTACTTTTGAATAGTTTTTAACGGAACAAGGACATGTCTCAAGAAGTTTCAATCTATACTCTCTCTGAGTGTCACTGATCAAAATTTTTATCATTTAGGAGCATTTCCAATATGCATTCAAACGTATTTGCGACTAATTTGGTGAATTTTTGATCGGAAAATGTAAGGAACTTTGAAAATCAAAGACAAAGCTTAATCACAACTGGAACGAAGAAATCCGAACGTGGGGTTTCTATTTCTAAGTTCCTACTATTTTTCGGAGTTTTGTTCTGGGAAACGATCGTACGCCATTTATCTGAGCGATAAAGCGTATCTTAAAAGCTTTTTTCTTTAATTTTTTGGAAAAAAAAAGCTACACGACGAAACGGTACGGTTTTGAAACAATTTAATTAAACTGATGAGTTACGTTAGAGCATGCAACTTGAATAAAAAATTATACAAAACACCGTCTGGACGTCGACGTTAAGAAAAACTACGGTTTTTGCGTTTAAATGTATCGCTGATTTTATTTACACGCGTAAGAATTCCGTATTTATAATATGTTTTTCGTAAAAAAAATGATTACACAAACAAGTTAAATGAATATTTTGATTTATATTTTTAGTAAAAACGCCTTTTTAAGAAAAAAAAACCTGTTAACATATAGACAAATGTTTCGTTAATATTACATTGAAAAATATATTGCTTAAAAAATAGGGCTATTCTCACAATTAACATATGACTATAACACAGCACAATGTATTTAAATATTACACAAGCAAGAAATAGTTGTACTAATATTGCAATAAGTACAAATGAATATATAACAGATTAATTTTAGCTAAAAAAATCTCTTGAACAAATTGGAAAAGTTACAAGTAGTATGAAACTGAGGTAACCGGTTAATTAAGTTTTTTTTTTCTGTATAACCATTAGTCCTAGTGTTGTTTTTTAATTCTTAACAGACTTTCTAGTGATGTATAGTTAGAACATTATTTGGTGGAACTCACATTATGTTTTTTGAAGAAAAATATATTGCACGTCATTTTTTAAGTCAAGACTTTTTGCGGTTTGTTCTCCCTCTTTTTCCTTAATAATATTGTAGGGGAAAGAAAGACCAGCGATCATTCGAAATATTTTCATAGTAATCAAGGAAAACAATTATCAAACTTCTTTCTTAGAAGAGTTCCTTACCAACGATAAAAGGCATCGAACTACATCAACAACAACAGTTAAGAGTCTTCTAGAACATTTCAAAGCCTTCCACGATATATAATTCACATACAAACAAGAACTGATCAAATTATATCTTTGGGCAATAATCAATATTCGTATTTCTGACCTTATTTAGATATATTATAGTGGGTTGAGATGTATTTTACATATAATGGATGTGTGTATAATAGGTTGGTTTGTCGGTTTAATCAATGGTTAGAATAATAATAATGTTAAACTACGGAAAACGGAATACGAAAAAGATAAATATCAAGAGGTTAGCAACAAGGCAAAAAAAAATCGAGCGCTCATAAAAAAAAGAAATTTTTGTTTGAAATGCAGAAATAAATAAGACTGATCGATTCTCTGGCGATTGATTATCCTTGGAAAACAACTAGACTTTTATAGAAAGTTTTTACTTAATGTCGTTTGCATAACTATAGTGATGCTAAAGAACACATTTGAATTTCACATTTTCTCTCGGCAGGAGGCTTTGCTGACAAGATTTTTTTATTATATTTTCAATGCATTCAATGTGACTATATTTAAAAGAAAAAACTAATGCGGAATTGTTTATCGCTGTCACAATACTTTACTAAAATTATAACTCAGCTTCTTTTTTTTTTTTTCATTACTGACTTCCTGTGTAGACTACCGAGAAATGTTAGTTTCTTTGTTTCCAATAGAAGATTGAATATATATATATATGTAACCTACTCATTTGATGAATAATCCACTTCAATATGCATGGTTTTTTGTTCTCTCCAAGCACAATCTAAGAGTAATACCGAGAGGAACCATCTTTTATTTTGATTGTCCCCGTTTTTGTTTCTTTACATCTCTTATTATTTTCAGTTCCTTCAACAATCAGATCGATGCATTGTGAAAATATTCATCTATTTCTCTTTTCTTTTTATATTTCTGTATCTAATTGACAAATTTATAATGTCATAATGAAATTGAGTCACAAAAAAAAAAGACAGACATATGCAGTATAATAGAAGAAGACACCAATAAATAGAAAATACATTGTATTTCAATGTGCATTTTTTATTAGAAATATCAGATCATTTATTTCTAGGTGAATATCTGTATAAATTGACACAAAATAACAAGAGTATATATATCTAAGTAACTGTTCTAGAATTATCTTCGAATTATATAATTCCATTAACATCTCAACTCTAATCACAATGCTGAAAGTTTTAAAGATTTCATAAGAGATATCATAGACAATAGAGCAAAATTTGAAATATAGTCGAGATACAAGTGATCCATTACGATCTAACAAAAGATTAAATATAAGTCAATAGAGAAGGAAGATTTTTATGTCGACTATAATTTGTCTTACGCTCTACTGATCATTATATATCTTTCGAGAAACTTTTTGCATTTTTTATAAAGAAACCCAGTGAGAAACATTCAATAGAATGGTATATATATATATATATGATGACGTGATTTATATAAGTAAACTAATAGAAAAAGACTTTTATAATGAAAAAAAAAATGGGTTTAAAGTCTAACGAAAACATGTGAGTGAATAAGAAAAAAGCGTTCAAACGCCAAAGTCTGCAATGTTTCTTTTGATGAGAGTTACAGTGCAAAGAAATTTGATTTTATGTATGTCATTTAAAAGAAACTTAGGCATAAAAAATTGTTACTTTTCATAAAAACAAGAAAAATTCCTTTGTAAGATAATACAGCAAAAGTACAATATGAATATTCCCTACATGAAACCATAAGTCTTATGATAGTTTTATGACAAAAAAAATTCTTTTTTTATATAATGAAAAAATTTGATAAAATGTTAAGTTATATAAATACTAATAAAAAAGATATCATCGTAAAAATAAATCATCGATGAATATCTAAGAACATTTTTTTGTTAATAAACAATTAAACTCATTGATTAATCTATTGTAAAGAATAAAAGTGATCTACAAATAATATGTTGATATTAACGTTCGAATCGTGACTTACATAAGAAAGTTTTCGCATTTGTTGAGATAACATCAAAAGCAGCCATTTTTCCTATAAAATTATTGCTGAGGATGCTGGTTTATCTTAAGAAAAATGTCCAAAAATTTTTCTCACAATAATTTTGACATATGCCACACATAAAAAAAGTCATTTTTATTTACAGAATACGTCAAAATATTGTTGAAAAAAGTTTTGCTTATTTTCCAGATGTAAACGTTTCCTTTTTTAATCGTCCTACAGCAAATTTTATGATAAAAACGAATGATTTTTGTGTTTTCTCAATGAAAATAAAAACATTCAAACGAGAACTAATTACTATTAGAACATTTAAATGTGTTTTCAAAAAACTTTTGTCTACTTCGGTATTAGAGTTATTTCAATCTTTAATAGTTTTCTTTATTATTCGATTTGTATGCCGCTTATCATTTAAATCTCTAGATAAATTTTTTGGTTATACGAAGTCAGATTGTATAATTCAGTATAAGAGGATTAAAGATATCAATCGTTTGAAACTTTTGCTATTAAGTTAAATAGTATCCGACAATTAACATTATTTTCATATTAAATAATTTTGATGTCATAGAATAACAGAGATCAATCGTATTAAATATTAACTATAAGAGTATCTAACTATCTTTAAATGATTAATGAAACAAACAAAAAATCTAACGTTCATTTTGGATGCATCTATGATCAAAAAGTCTTCTAGGAATTTCATTTAATATGATAATAACTCGTTTTATATTCTAATCTCTTCAGCAAAAAAAGG